AAGGCAGCCTGACATCTTGCATCAGCCGATTAACCATTCTCATGTTCAGTTGCAGTCAAACCATCACAATTATCAGCAACAGCGGCTTTGCTTATCTGGTTGCCCTCTGGTATCTCCATCTTCTGCTTCAGGGTCTGTTGACGCTTTCAGTCAAATTCATAGCTTGGCTCGGCATCAACTACCACCCCCAGCACATCAATTGGCTAATTCAGTCTCTCAGGTCACCACTCATCGAGATCAGCCCCAACAACAAGAGCAACATCCACAGCCCCATCATAAAACCAATAACCGCCATCTTATTCATCATCCTCGACGACATCTGAGCTCAGTTGTGCTTCAAAACACTTCGTCACTCATGGGAATGCACCAGGAACACTCTCAGCCGCCAGAAAGCCTGATTTCCCAACATTCCTCCTCTTCTGAACCTTATTCAGCCAAGTTGGGGACCTCAATCCCTCTGGGTATTTTATATTTTTCATCATTTTATTCAAGTGGTTCTTTAAAACTAGTTTAGCAATAGCTGTTTTTATGTCGTTTGACGATACAGTTTATTCTTATATGAGTTATTATAATAATCCCATCCTTGAAGGAATCCAACAAACTAAGAGCCATATTTTGGCTTTCTGACATTACACACTATTTCCAATACTAAGCTTAGGTGATTTGGTCAAATCCCAATATACGGATCCACTTTCGCATTCCAAATCCTTTGTTTCACACTAACTGCTGGCATTTCTTGCCATGCCTGGGCACATTCTAGATATTCTGACGATATAAAGACTAACCTTTCAATCTCTTGAACTTTCAAGTCAATTTATCGCTCATGCAAAACCTGATCTTGATTGGTGGCTTCTAATTTACGAGATAGAGTTGGCTTAGCTAGGCACAACTTTCATTTATTCCTACCATACTCTATTCATTCCTCTAAGTTTACTTCAATGACAATGCAATTTTCATTTAAAGCATCTAGCACACAATTAAATATATGTAATAATTTAAATTGAAACATAATATCAATAATAAGTATTTTATAAGATTCGCAACCGGCTATATTCATTCGCTCTAATCTAACAGCTTTTAATGTATAGTATTATATGTTGGTCTCTTATTAGTGCTGTCAGAAACCAATTTTAATTAGTAGTATTCGATGCTCATTACTTCCTATACCTAAGCTTTGTCAGCTTTGTTTTGTTCTTGATACTGTGGCGCTAAGCTCAGAATTTTTGGACTACTAATGCCGCTTTTTTATGGTGTGATCCGCTTCGCTTTATTTTCCTCAGTATCCTAATTTTTTATTTTATTCCGGTTTTTACCGAATTGCAAATTTAACT